CCCCTTTCCACTATTTGCCTGCCCGGCCCGGAGGAGAGTGAATGACGTGGCGTTAACCCGCGGAAGACGACAAGAAACGAGCAGTCGGGCCTCAAATGATCAGCCCACGACGACCGGCCCATGACGATCGGCCCATTAAGCCATGCGCCAATGACGGTGTCCTGTCACATCATTCTCCTATAAAAGGAAAGAGAATTGATGTGACAAGACATCACGTACACTCGAGAGGACAGAAGTACTCCGCAGAGCTCGGCTTTAATAACTCATATTGTCGAACAGATTAATAACCTTTCTTCCTTGTAATTGCCGATCTCCGATTTGTAAAGACGAACCTTTTGGCTCGACCTTGACTTAATATCATTGACTTCCCCCTTTGTGCCGAGCACTATACAACATTTGGCGCCCACCGTGGAGCCGAGCTAGAGGCAATTCGTCTTTGATATCGCACATCTGCAAGACACAAGAATGGAAGCCGGAAGTGGAGAATTCGTAGCCGACACACCCGATCGTTTCCAGCCAGGACAAGGCAACCCGCCGAGCGCTCCAACAACCGAGGATGGAGAGGGGACGAGCAATCCCGGTATCGGCGCCCTGATGCGCAGCATCCTCGCTAAAATGGATGAACAAGAGCGGAAAACGAGCGAGCGATTCGCAGCTCTGTCCGAAGTATGTGCCGCCATGCAGAGCCAAGCAGGATCACCAGACGCGGCGGTCGCCGAGGAGGCCACGCCCGCAAATCCAACTCAAGGCAGTGACGAGCTTGCCGAGCTGCGCGGCAAAATCAAGGAGGTGTCGACTCGCATGCACCGGGCAACAAGTTCGGCGCCCGACGTAGATCGCATGCTGGAGCAGTCACAAAACACGCCCTTCACAGCGCGCGTCCGCAATGTGGTGATCCCAAAGGACACCAAGATTAACTACGCCCACTTTAAAGGTGACTCGGACCCGACGCATCACCTCACCTCGTTTGAAATCGCCATCCATCGATGCAACCTCACGCCGGCCCAATCGGACGCTGGCAAATGCCAACTATTCACGGAGCTGTTGAGCGGAGACGCGCTGGGATGGTTCTCGAATCTGCCGGCCAATTCGATCGACAATTTCAAACAACTCTCACTCGCTTTCATGAAGCAGTACTCGATCTTGGCCATTCCGGGGGCGACGGCCGACCTATGGTCGACCGTTCAGAGAATCGACGAACCTCTCAGGGGATTCATCGAAAGGTTCAAAAAAGTTGCCTTCCAGGTGAATGCGCCCAACAAAGTCTGGCTGTCGGCCCTGAGGAGCGCGCTCTTGTTTAAGTGCCGATTCCGGGAAGACCTCACTCTGAACCAATACGTCACGCTGGAAGACGCCCTGCACCGGGCGACCCGCTATGTAGAAATGGAGGAAGAGCAGAACGTGCTCTCCCAAAAATATATGCCGCCCAAACAACAGATCCCGAAGAACAAGGATGAATATGTCGAGCCCCGTCAGCACTACGACAAAAGCTATGTCGCAGACGCTCGGAAAAGGCCTCCCTCTTCGTACATGTTGGCCGAAGCAGATCCAGAATCGGGACCGAGTTCCCCGCTCCCGCAGCCACCTCCTCCCCTTCCCCCGCAAGTCGAACAGGATCACAGCCTATATTGCGAGTTGCATGAGGTGACGGGGCACTCAACAGCGTCCTGTCGTCACCTTCAAAGCCTGCTGCTAAACAAGTATCTCAAGGGCGATGTCGAAGTGACTCTCCGACAATACAAGAGCGGCGGCCAGCGCGGTCGCGGTGCCGGTCAGCGCGGTCGCGGGCGCGGTCGAGGAAACATCCAGAGTCGCCTCGGACCACAAGGAGACGACCGCCCAGCCCCGGTTAACGGCAATAATGCGCGTCCTGGACAGAATGGTCAGGACGCCGCTCGGATAGCTAACCAGGAAGACGAGCAGCTGCCACCGCCTCCAGCCAGACGGAGGATCTATATGATACATAGCAAGGATTACGAGCGTGACGACTACCCGGACCCTCAGGCGGAAACGGGCCTAGTGAACGTAATCATGGGCGGCCTCACCGCCTGCCGCGATTCCGTGCGGTCAATCAAAGATTACGTCAAGGCCGGCGCGGCTGCGGTATGGCCAACCAAACCGGCCCCATACATCCCGCCCATCATGTTTACTTCCGAAGACGCGCTCGGCGTCAGCTTCCCGCACAACGACCCTCTCGTCATCGAGCTTCAGATAGGCGACAGCGAAGTCACCCGAATTCTGATTGACACTGGCAGTTCAGTAAACGTCATTTTTCGCGAAGTGCTCGACAAAATGGGAGTCACAGATTCTGAGATTAAACCATCAGTACGCCCGCTGACCGGCTTCGACGGCAACTACTTAATGTCGGCCGGTACTATCAAGCTGCCGATTTATGTCGACGGACATGTATCCCTGCACAAGTTCATGGTCGTCGAGAAGCCCGCCGTTTACAATGTCATCTTGGGTACACCGTGGTTACACGACATGCAAGCTGTCCCGTCCACTTACCACCACTGCGTTAAGATGCCGACGCCAAAGGGGATCTGTGTCATCAGAGGAAACCAGGTCGATGCCAGAAACTGTTTCGTTATTGAATGCAAACTCCGCAAGGCAATCGATTTATAACAGCTAAAGGAAGCGGCACGACCGGCCCCGCCGGTCAGCGCAGAAGAGATCCCGCGCCACGAGCTGATAGACAAAGTCAATATCGACGACAGCGACCCAACCAGGTGCGTAGGTATCGGCGCCGATCTGGACCCGCATATCAGGACTCAGCTGGTCGGCTTCCTCAAAGAAAACAACGCCACCTTCGCCTGGTCGTTTGACGACATGGTAGGGATCAGCCCAGAAATTACAAGCCACGAGCTCAACGTGGATCCAACGTATAAGCCGGTCAAGCAGAAGCGACGAAAGCTCGGCCCCGAACGTTCTAAGGCCGTCAACGACGAGGTCAAGAAGCTGTTGGCCGCAGGATCAATTATTGAGGTCAAGTATCCAGAGTGGCTGGCAAACCCTGTCGTTGTCAAGAAAAAGAATGGGAAGGCCCGCGTGTGCATCGATTTTACGGACTTAAACAAAGCTTGCCCCAAGGACAGCTACCCGCTGCCGAGCATTGAGCGTTTGGTCGAAGCAACGGCTGGCAATGCTTTGTTATCTTTTATGGATGCCTTTTCCGGGTACAATCAAGTACTGATGCATAAAGACGACCGTGAAAAAACAGCCTTCATCACCGACCAAGGGACGTACTGCTACAAGGTGATGCCATTCGGGCTCAAAAACGCGGGAGCCACATACCAACGCCTCGTCAACAAGATGTTCGCCGAACAGTTAGGGAGAACTATGGAGGTATATATCGACGATATGCTCGTCAAGTCGGAGACAGCAGAAGACCACGTCCCGCACCTAAAAAAGTGTTTTCATACCCTGAACCAATACAACATGAAGTTGAACCCTGACAAATGCTCATTCGGCGTGACAAGTGGGGAGTTCTTGGGGTATATCGTGACAAAGTGTGGGATCGAGGCTAATCCCAAACAAATTAAGGCGTTGCTCGACATGCCATCGCCCCGCAACAAGCGCGAGGTGCAGCGGCTGACCGGCCGCATAGCCGCACTAAACAGATTCATTTCGCGGTCGACTGATAAGAGCCTACCGTTCTACCAACTGCTTCGCTCTGCGAGTAGGGATTTCTGTTGGACAGCCGAATGTGAGCAAGCCTTCGCCGAGCTAAAAATTTACTTAACGACTCCCCCCATCCTGTCCAAACCCGAGAAAGGCGAGAAGCTATACCTGTATATTGCGGTGTCCAGCTCGGCGGTAAGCGGTGTGCTCGTTCGGGACGACCGTGGTGAACAGCGTCCTATTTTCTACGTTAGCAAGACGCTCGACGGCGCCGAGTTGCGCTACCCAATGCTGGAAAAAATCGCGTTCGCAGTAGTCATCTCGGCACGGAAGCTTCGGCCCTACTTCCAATCACATTCCGTCACCGTGCTCACAAACCAACCTCTCCGCCAAATTTTACACAGCCCGGGACAATCAGGCCGGATGGCCAAGTGGGCAGTAATTGAGCGAGTACGACATGGAGTATGTCGGACGGACAAGCATGAAGTCGCAAGTCCTAGCCGACTTCCTCGTCGAGTTTCCGCCCGGTCTTACCACGGCAGCTAAGCCTGACGAAAAGTGGACCCTGCACGCCGACGGTGCCTGCTCGCAGCATGGCTCCGGGATCGGCATCAGACTTACATCCCCGGCGGGGGAGATAATCGAGCAATCTTTCCGACTAAATTTCGCAGCATCAAACAATGAGTCTGAGTACGAGGCCCTGCTAGCCGGCATGCGTTTGGCCGTCGAGTTAGGAATCAAACAACTCCAAGCCTACTGCGATTCACAGCTCGTCGCCAACCAGTATAACGGCGACTACGAGGCTAAGAACGAAAGAATGGACGCATACCTCAAGATCGTACGTGAGCTCGCCTCCAACTTCGACTTCTTCGCCATCGACAAAATCCCGAGAAGCGCAAACGCACCTGCAGATGCCCTCGCCGTACTCGCTTCCACTTCTGACCCCGACCTCCGACGAGTTATACCTGTCGAGAGTATTCAGACGAGCAGTATCAGCAAAAAGGCACAAGTCGCGACCATCACCACCTCAGCTCCCGCAGAAATTCCCACAGCCGCCGCAATAACGCCGCCCTCTGATTGGCGCGTCGAAATAGTCGAATATATCACCAACGGTACGGCACCAGCAGATAAATGGCATGCTCGGCGTCTCAAGGCACGGGCCACACAGTACGCAATCGTCACAGAGAAGTTATACCGATGGAGCTCGGCAGGAATCCTCCTAAGATGCGTAGCGGGTATTGAGGCAGATTTGGCAATGCAAGAAACGCACGAAGGCGCAGGAGGCAATCACTCAGGCGGCCACGCTCTGGCCCTTAAAATAAAAAAGCATGGCCTATACTGGCCGACCATGGTCGCTGATTGCGAGAAGTTCGCGGCCAAATGTGAAAAATGCCAAAGACACGCTTCCATCATCCATGCTCCGGCCGAACTTCTCACGACGGCCACGGCACCATACCCATTCATGCGCTGGGCGATGGACATCGTCGGCCCCCTGCCCACATCACGAAACAAACGTTTCCTCCTCGTTATGACGGACTACTTCACCAAATGGGTCGAGGCCGAAGCCTATAACAGAATTCAAGCAAACGAAGTGCAAACGTTCGTCTGGAAGTTTATAATCTGCCGCCACGGCCTCCCATATGAGATCGTTACTGACAATGGCTCACAGTTTATCTCGAAAAAGTTCGACGACTTCTGCGCAAGCTGGCGCATCCGCCTAAGCAAGTCAACGCCTCGGTACCCACAGGGCAACGGACAGGCCGAAGCAACAAACAAAACGATCATCGACGGACTTAAGAAGCGCCTCGAAGAAAAGAAGGGCCTTTGGGCCGACGAGATGGACGGCGTCTTGTGGTCGCATCGAACCACACCATGCCGCGCAACCGGTGAAACACCATTCTCGCTCGCATATGGAATGGAGGCAGTCGTACCTGCCGAGGTGAGCATCGGCAGTATTCGCCAAACAACGCTCGTCGAAAACCCCGCCCTGAACGATGTCATGATGCTAAATAGTCTGGACGAGGTCGAAGAACTGCGCGACCGCGCACTACGCCGCATTCAGAACTATCAAAACGCGGCAGCACGTCATTACAACAAAGGGGTGCACTTGCGGACGTTTTCAACACGCGACCTCGTGCTGCGAAAAGTTTACGAAAATACTAAGGAAATTAACGCAGGCAAATTGGGCGCTAAGTGGGAAGGCCCCTATCAGATTTCTAAGGTCGTCCGACCCGGCGTCTACGAAATCCTTACTATGTCCGGCGAGGAGATTCCCAGGTCGTGGAACGCAAACAACCTAAAGAGATATTACTATTAAAAAAAAAAAAAAAAAAAAAAAAAAAAAAATGTTAAGCCTGGTCGGGAAAAACCGCCAGCTCGTTATATATTTATGTAATGTGAACTACGGTCGGCTTGATCCTCGAAAGAGGTACGTAGGCAGCCCGTCAAAAGGCACAGCTGTTTGAAAAAAAAAAAAAAAAAAAAGAGGGGGAAACCTTCTTTATTAATATAAAAAAAAGGGGGAGGGGCGAAACGCCGATTACAAACTTGTTTCTACGACCATGCAAAAAAAAAAACACACAAAGATAAAAGCTAAGCAAGAAAGAAACTACTCGGCCGCGCCCTTTTTCGCCACATGCATGGCCACTCTCAAGGAATGGCCTCGGGAGGAGGAACCAAATCCCCATCCGCGAGAAAAGGCAGGGCAAGCTCGGTCTCAGCTCGAACCTAATACGCCCTCGTCTTCGCCGCCTCTTCAAGTCTCCACGGCGAAATCTGCACTCGCCCTAAAACCACCTTCTCCTTCAAAAAGGAGTCAATGCCGATCCACTGGCTCCTGCTACGAAAAATACTTTCCGCCTCACGAAAGGCAACCACAAACCGAATCAGTCGGGTGATGCGGTCACGATAACTCTGCACCCCCTCCAACCGATCAGGGTCGGCCTCTTCCCGAAAATGTATCAGGGTCGAGCGGAGGGACTTCAATCGCATCAACAACAGCTTTCTTCACAGCTGGAAAACGTGCTCGACGTAACCCTGCACGCCTAAGCTCATTTCGAGCTCATGCAAAGGAAACCGTCGCTCCTGAAGAGCAACGATGTGTGCGACCAAGCGGCGAACGCGTTTGAGGTAGAACTCGGGCCGCGTCTCCTCAACATAACCTTGGAACCATTGCCAATACTCGGCGTCAACTTCATCAGCATCGTCGATACGACGACCAACGCCCGGCGTAGCGGGGCTCGACGAACCAGACATGAGCACACACTCCGCAGCAACCTACAGGAACAAGAGAGCAAAAGCAGGCAAAGACGTAGTAGCAAGTGTAACTGGGATCTCTAACCCGTGCTACTTATAAAAAAGGGGGGAGTGGAAATCGAGGCAACATTAATTCGCCTCGATCCACGCAAACAATTCGGTTGGGTAACAACGCCCTTTATTTCATCCTTAGAACAACACGTTACAAAGGAGGTCGACTCAACAAAGACAGTAACACACAGACGAACAACCGTTCGGCCTAAAAGACAGAAATACACAGACGAACAACCGTTCGGCCTAAAAGACAGTAATACATAGGCCGACAATCATTCGGCCAAGCGATAGAGCAAGGAGGACGAGCAACGAAGAGAATGGTCCGTCTGGCAAGGCAGTGTGCAGCCGTCCCGCCAGCAGAACATTTCATAGCATTCGGAGCTCCGCCCCCCACGGCAGAAACTCCGCCGAGCAAACACCCCCGGTCGAGCTCCTGCCCAAACCTTCTGGACCTGACGACCTCTTCCCGCACATACCAGCCCGGCAACCTACAACGGGCAACATATCGAAACCTCTGCCGGCAAGAAGAGGAAGCGTACTCGTCACCACTTCTAGCTTCCCGGCGGATCTTTTTATAGTTAATCGTTCGACCAAGCAACCTAATGTTTGCGCACCCCTTGCCCGAGTATGCATGATCTCGAACATTCCGACACCTCGATATCGACTTCGACACAAACAAGTCTCCTCAACTTCGG